CGCGGGCTCAGGCAATCCACTCACCTCAGCCTCCCAAAGTGCTGGGATTACAGGCTGAGCCACCGAGCCCCGCCCAGAATTCTTTATACTTCTGAATTAAGGGCCCCCACATTCTCATTTTGCTTGGGGTCCCACGCATTTTATAGCTGTCCCAGCTGGGAGGGGAAAGGAATTCCATCCCGACATGGGTGCAGGTGCGGCTAGGCCAGGCCTGGCAGCTCTGTCTGCAGAGGCCCATCTGTTGCCTGCCTTGGGACCCCTGAGGGGTGAGGGGTGGGGGTGGGGCCGAGCAGATCAGGCCAACCTGAATTTTGGGATGGGTTTTCTAAAACCTTGCTACCTGCATGGCTTTGATTGAATCACATCTACTGAATCTTTTCCTCAGCTTAAAAGGGGCTAATGGCACCCAGCACCAGGGGCTGCACATGACAACATGCATCCGTTGCTAGACACAGGTCATTCCTCAACAGAGAATGTCTATAATGATGAGGATGACAATGATTAACTTATTACGAATAAATGGGGATGGGCCTCAGACCCGGTTACATAAGGAGTGCCCATTCCCTTTCCTCCCGCCTCCCCCAGGGCTTGGTGAGCTTCCAAGGCTGGCCCCTCCTTGCCCCCTCTGCTCTGGCTCTCTTGGAAAACACCATGCCCGGGCTCAGGTGTGGGTAGGCAAAGCCAGCCAAGGCTTGGGCGGCCTTTCCCACTCTGGTCAGAGTTAATGCGTTACCTCTGCTTGGGCGCCTCTTTCGCAATACGGATCTGTGGATCTGGTTACAGATTTACCTTGAACAATGTCTGATATGTGGAGTAAAGTCCTCCTTGGCCTTCGTAAAGTCTCCCCTCTTCTCCTCAGGAACTGCTCGAAACTGTGCCCCAAAGATGAGGGCCCAGGAGGACGCTGAGGGCCAGACACAGGTGCTGGGGATGGGTAGGAGCTGGGGGGAGGGGCAGCTGGGGCTGGAGGGCCTGTGCAGGCCTCCCTGGGAGGCCAGAGACCAAGTTCTGATGAACTTGAGAGTGACTGACCAAGCTGAATGTGGCAATGGGGGGTGGGGTGGAGGTGGGAGTGAAGGGGCCTTCGGCTTGGGGACTGGCTGACAAGTGCCTAGGGGCCATTAGGGGCCACGACACCCAAGGACCTCCAGGGACAGAGGTGGGACCAGACTGGGCTTGTCCACAGTCTCGAGCCTTCTCAGCCTGCTGTCCTGGTGCCCCAGGTATTCTGACTTAGGGCCCCACTCCCCGGGTTAGAATGCCCAGGCCTTGAGGGCTCTAGAAGCCAGCATGGTGGACCTATCCCTGCGGGAAGCTATATGTGAAGTGTGAGACAAGTGTGGCCAGGCCAAGTGACAACCGGGTGGCTGGACTGTGGGGAAGGGTGGGACCCACTCTGAGTTGCTGACAGGCCGCTCCGGCTCCCTGATTGATTCTGGAGCAGAATGGACTTGGCCTGTCCCCGTCACTCCACCCTAAGCTACTTCTCTCTGCTGCCGCCAGCATGAGCCCACCAGGGACCTCCCGGTGCCCTCACTCACAGAGCCCAAGTCTGATATGTTGTACAAGATTGAGGACGTGCCGCCTTGGTACCTCTGCATCCTGCTGGGCTTCCAGGTGGGCTTCCAGGTGGGCTTCCCCACCCTCACCTGTTGGGGATCCCGGCCCCTCCCTGGCCAGCAAGGTGATCCTGGGCAGCCAAAAGAGAAACCTAAGGTCAGCAGAGTGACTAAGAGCGTGTGACACTTGCCAGGTGGTGTGTCAGTAACAGGAAGGATGGCTCACTCCACAGAAGCTGTGGGAGTAACTTGGGGGGATTAGTGACCCCCAGGGTGTGAGCAGTAGCTCTCTGGGAATCCCGTGTGGGAACTGCAAGCCCTGGGTGGGCACACTGCCAGGGGCAGCCTAGGTTCATGCCCACTGAGGCAGGCATGAAGACCCTGGGGTGCCCCCTTCCCCTCGGGCTCTATGGGCCGAGCTCACACGCGTCTCTCCCCCACCCTCAGCATTACCTGACATGCTTCAGCGGCACCATTGCCGTGCCCTTCCTCCTGGCGGAGGCGCTGTGTGTGGGCCGTGATCAGCACATGGTCAGTCAGCTCATCGGCACCATCTTCACGTGCGTGGGCATCACCACCCTCATCCAGACCACGCTGGGCATCCGGTGAGTGGCACCCCCCACGTGACCACGCAGCAGGAGCAGGTGGTCACTTGGAGGACTCCCCAGGACAAAAAAGCCCTCTCTGCCCCACTGGCCTCTCCTACCCCCAGGCCAGCCTCGAGGCGTGCTCCCACCCTGGACACCCTGATCTAGGCAACCTGCTCTGGCTCCACAAGGAGAAGACGTCTGGGTTGAAGGGAGTGTGTCCTGGATGGACTCTCAACTCTCAGCCCTCCTCTGGATGCTCAGGGCCACCTGCTTCCCTGCCCACACGGCCACCCTTGAGTGGCCTCCAGGGCCCAAGTGGCCTGTCAGTCGTCTGCCCTCCTGGCCCTGGCCTGTGTGCTCAGCCCGAGGCCTGGGTGGCAGATGGAGGGCTGTTGGCGAGGTAGGGGCGGAAAGGGGTGTGAGTGGGGCTTGGCTGCAAGAGGCGAGTTCCTCCTCCCT